TTTTCGTAAGCAATGATTTATTGTTGTTTACAGGTATACATTAAATTGTCTACAACAATAGCTGCATCAGTTTCCATTATCCTAGGACTTTATTTTTAATGTTTAATCTATCGGTATAATCAAAACTTGCCTATCATATTAACTTTTAAAGTTTTTGTACATTAACCTTGAAAAATAGCGTTTTTGGAATTAATCCAAAATGTGGTTAAAAATCGACTTTTTTATTATAATTATTATTATTTGTAGTTATTGATATTTTGACAATAAACTCTTTTTTTTTTTTTTTCTATTGTAAGAGTTAGAGTAAGTCTATTTGGCTTAGTTTTTAAGTTACAAATGTTCAAACGGGCAGTGTACTCACTCCTACAAGTATCTAAGATATAATATTTATTATATTATATTATATAAGATTTCCAACTTTCAAATTGTGTTTTGTAGGACATTTTTTTTCATGTCTTATTTTATATCATAAGTATCTGTTTAATTAAAAATTGTGATGTCAGTAGAATAGGTATATTATTATTAGGTATAACTTTCAACAAATAATCTAGGTACATTTTATTTATACCTTCTTTTTTTTTTTTTTTAATCTTTATTATTTACTCTTGTTTTAAAAAATTCAGCTAACATTCTTAAAATTTATTAAAATTGCAAATTGTTAGTAAATAGGTTTGAATATTTCAAATATTTATAAATTACTAAGTATAATAAAATACTACTTACCTACCTATATTCTATTAACATTTGATTGTTCACAAAATAATTAAATCTTAAATATAAATAATTGAATAGTCAATAGAATTAGACAGTTTAACAAATCTGTAACAAGTTTAGATAAGTCCGTAGTATAACTATAATTATTTATTGTCTTAAATTATATACTACAGTAGGTACCTATATAATTGATAAATGATAACTTAAAACAATCAAACGACATAATAATTAAAAGGTATTTGTTCATATAGGTACCTTAAACTATGACCCATTAAAGTTTGTGTATTGACATTTTAAACGTAGAATTTGTTCTTCATAAAGTTAAAGTGTTGTTGGACGTAGGACAATCTTTCGCAATGTAGGATTGTTGGCAACCCTCAGACGGGATTTAATGTATAATTATCTGTAGGTAAGCAATGATTAACAATTGCCAACGAAAATACGATTCTGAGCCGAGTTCGGTTGATACTGTTACTTTGTCAACAATTTAGGTACACGTCCTTGACATCCATGTCATATTATGTTAAAATAATTACATAATATATGATATAAAATTTTCTTATATAATATTTGTTTAATATGGTGCCTATTATTTATGATATTAATGATATCATAAAAAAAGTACCTACCTACCAGTAATCGAAACCATCATAATCACCTACATAAAAAAGACCAATAAGTAGACCACGTATAATATGGAAAGGTGTCCAAATGTTAGGAAGAAATATGTCAGTTGATCTGTCATTTAATATGGAAAAATGGAGAGAATTACTTATGGCAGATTAAATCCTATGGGGCCCGTTAAGTTTAAAGAGGAAGAAGAAGATAATATTGAAATAAATAATAATGAAAAATAATAATAATATATAAAAAATATTTCCATAGTATACAAAATTAATAAGATTCATATATTTAAATTTACCCGTGTATAAAGCCTAATTAAATCTCATTGGAAAGAGTTCAAGTTGCGGGGGTATTATTCTACGAATAATTCTCAGATTTGCCGGATGCTTATAATGTCATCTATAACATTTCTTGATACCTACTTAGTATCCCCAAACAACCACTATCAGAATCTGAATAAAGCTAGAAAAAACAACCAATTGTTTGGTAAGAATTAGAACCAAATGATTGGAAAATGAAAAGTAATGTGCGTTTGGCAATATTGATATATTCTTAATGGTCAAAATTTGGGACATTATTACGATATTTTTCTAAACCTGATTAAGTTAAATTTTATATGAAGAGTTTAATTTTTTTTTTTTTTTTGTGGAACATCAAATTGCCTGATAACTTTTCCTAAAGGAAGTTAAAATGTTCGGACCTAGGAAAATTGAAGGAACAGCTCTTAATTTTCAATTTGAAATTTTTTATATGGAAAAAATTGACAAATTATACATAATTTAATATTGATTTTTTTATATCTTCTAAGAAAATATAACTTCTTCAATAATGAGATAAGTAAGCACTTTAAGTATTTAAATGCTTCAAGCATTAAACATTAATTCAAAACTATATAGGTATTTAATTTGATTTTTTTGATTTTTAATGTACTGGACATATGGTAGATATCCAATGATTTGTATAATGTATTTCATATACATTTTTAAAATAATAACTGTGTAGGTATCTACTATTAAAATTGATAAGATATTTAATTTCTAATTAAAAATGATGTTTATACTTAATAGATAATAAAACTAATTAATAAAATGTTATATTATTATAGAATAGGTATCTATTGTATTTATAATTAAATAAAATAAGATGAAGAAAAAGAAAGAGTTCCTCAATACCATACGTATCCGCAAATTAGAATATCTTGGTCATATTATGAGAAATGAAACAAAATACAGCTTACTGCAATCTATTATTTAAGGAATAATAAATGGTAGAAGAGGTCAAAATACATTTTTATAAATCATTTGTGTCCTATTAGAAAATTATATTTAATTATAAATTAGTTTTTTTTTTTTGTGAATATTAATGTATAATTAAAATCAATTAAGTAATATAAAGGTAGGTATATTATTTTGTTAATCAAATTCTTTTAAACGTTAATACAGAGTTTTACAGTTGACATGTGTTTACTCGATAGGTACCTACCATTAAGGGTAATATCTACGATTAGAAAATTTATTTTTTGTAATATGACTAGAAGTTAATTTTCTATAGATGATAGACGGGTAATCTGTCAACAGCGGACTAAGTGTGGAGGTCAAATATGGTTTTAATCCAAATTAAATTATACTGTATCTTGTTTGATATATTTTTAGGAAATAGGTTGGTCAGTAATTATGTATGGACTTTTCCCAAGTGACCTAACTTGAATAGGTACTTAGTTACTTACTTAAAATATCAATCTGCGTTGTAATTTCTGTAGTGTACACCACTAACAGAATAATAATTGCCTATTTAATAATAATTCTTTTAAATGTCTAGTGTAGTGTCTAAAAGTAAATTATTGTGTGCATAAAATATTTTAGTTCTAGTTTTCCATAGGTGGCAGAAAATAAATCAGCTTTTGCAGACTAAATATAGATAGGTAATGTAGTTTCAATGACAGTTTACTTTGTTACTTAATACTTTTTAGTTTTACAACAAAATAACACACTTTACAATTTTATGTTGATATAGATTTGAACTGGAGTCAAGGTAGACTTAATAAAATGTAATTTCTATCATATTTCCAATGATTAACATTACTTAAATCATTATTTGTATCTATAGTTTTCTGTAGTACTTACCTATACAATATCATCATTCATCATACATTTACAAATTTGCATATATGTAACATACCTACTGTGTGAGGTGTAACTTATTAAAAATGATTTTATTTTATTTTTCCATATTGTATTTTTTTTTTTTATAAAGGAATTTTAATATCAATTGTTTGAATAAAAAATTAAGTTGAACAAATTTAGTTACTGGTCCATGCAGATTTTTTCAATTTTATTTTATTTTTTTAACATATTATGTATATTGTCGTTTTAAGGTGAAGTCAGAATTGAGCTTACTGACTTAGTTTTGAAATTATAGCTTTTCGAAGTTCTGATAATATATCAGTGTTATGTTAAATAACTCAATATTATCAATTTTATAATATGTCTGTCGAACTCTAGTAGTGATAAGTACCTGTTGCCATCCCAGAGATTGCAAGTTCAAATCAAAGTTTCAAAATTTTTCTCTTTACCATATCACAACATAGAAAAAAACAAATGCATTTAAGGTGCACCTAGGGACCCATAATATGACACATTGTTGAAAAAGCATTACTATTAGCCAAGCTCCATTTAGCTAAATTTATTTTAAAGGCTTGCATAGAATAATTGAATCACATATGAAATATAATATTATTTCTCATTATATTAATGAAAAGTGATAGCAATAACAATGCAACAAAGTATACATTTATTGATTTATATTTAGCATTTTATAAGAATAAGTTAAATAAATAATAATTTTGAATAGGTAGGTTTAATAAATATATTGTATCTAAACATTTGTGTGTGGATCATATCGACAATTTGTAAAATGCACTGAAATTGAACACATATATAAATCAATTTTCTTTTATGAAAGTGGAAATTATTATTTCTGTAAATAAAGGTAAATAAATAAATAATATGTTTATATTATATCAACTAGTCTATATTTGTTAACTGTATTGTAATAATTTCTTTAAGAACTCCAAGAAGTATATATTCGCATCTATTCGCAAAAATCTAATATTAATATCATGGTCTAAGATTTTCTAAGGCTGTAATTAATATAATAGGACAATTCCTATTCTCTATTATATTAAATTGAAATTATTATGAAATCAGGATGAAAGTTGAATGTTAAATGAAAATCAGTACATTTTATTGTCCCTACTATGATATAGATAAAATAAATCACTTACTACCTCAAATCATAAAGCCATATGTGGAATATTTTGGTGTTTAGAGACAAACAGACTTTAAGTTAAACAAAAATAGTATATGTCCATATTATGAGTAGGTACTTGCCAAAAATATTTCAATATTATAATCAGTTACAAAAAACCACACTTTTACTATGTTTATGTAAGTAATGTAAATTTATAAAGTTAATAAACATGCAATACCTGATTAAAGTATCAGGCTGAGAAAGTTAAAAATACAAAAATAATAATCAATTAAGATTTTAATCTTATAATTTATACTCATACACAACTAAAGATTGCACACTATTAAAAAAGATAAAAAATAAGACAAAATTAAATTATCTAATTGAATTTTATTAATTCAGGTTATTTATACTGCAACGAGAAAATAATATTTCAGAATATAATTAAAAATATAAAAACTGACCAAAAATAAAATGAAAAATGTATACCTTATTCTCCAAGTGAGATTGTTACTTTTAGTCCAAGACACAAATTCAAAGTCAATAAAATAGGTTACAATAAATATTGAATTAACCTAGCTTACAGTCTTTTAAATTAAGTATTATATTTGAGAAGTTATAATAATAGTAAACTACACATGCAGTTAGAAATACACTACTTCAACTACATGACCATTAAATCTGGATAAATGTTTTAAATCTGAAAATATTGTCATTAAGGAAAAACTATTAATTTTTATTTTTACCAATCCCTTCTATTAACTGTACATAGGGATGTGAGATATTTAGTATATGAATATATATATATATATATATATATAAATAAATCATATTTTGAGTTACAGCTTTAGGAGTAGTATAGTTTTGTAAAATAGACAATTTTAAAATTAATTAAAAATTAAATTAAAAACATCCTTTCTCAAACTGTGAGATTGTTGAAGAAAATGATGCCACTTCTAGAATGTTAGCTCTATTACATTAAAAATATAACTTAATGGTTTATTGATATTAATTTGGTTATACATTACCAATATTATATCAAAATAAAATTACAAAATATTGTTATTTGATTCTAAAATGTGTACATAAAAAGGATACTTTTAGCTCTTTCAGCAAGCCATTCATGAGTAAATTGTACAACTCCAAATTCATTTCTGACTTCAGCAAATTTTATATCTCCACAGTCAAAGAAGAAATCTTTTAAGACTTGCCATGTTGTTCCTGGTGGTAAATTAATTACCATAATTGTGTCAGATTTTTTTTGACCCATTCTTATGTTTCCACTATCTGGAATAACAATATTAAAATTTAATATACAATATAAATCTAAATAATTAATACTTTTACCAAAGATTAGCGAGTGGGTGGGATTACTTAAAAACATTTACTTAAATACCCTTAAGAATAATAGAAATAAATGATAAATTTCCTCTTATAGATGTCAATAGGCGTCTTATGTTATTTGTAAATTGCAGATGGACACTGTTGTATTTAATTCAATAAACATTATATATTTTCTTTAATAATATTTTTTTCTCAATATATTGAGAAAATTAAAAAATGACTTTCCTAAAGTATCTTTCCAGTCAGATTTCCTTTCAGAAAAAGTTGTACCATTGTAAATAGGAACAAGATTTTTGGTAGAAAAGTTGCCCACAGATAAAATTAAAAAATAATAAATATCTTTGTAAAACCATCAGTTTCTTCGCTCAACTCAGAATCTAAAATATTAATTTTGAAAATATTATTTTTAATTATAATAACCTAGGAAAGGATTACCAATCATTTAAAGAAATAATTAAGACATGATAACTAATTTATTACTACTATTAAAATTTATTATGTCATTTAAATGAAATATGCAATTATACCATATTTAGTACCAAGAATGAATAGAAAATATATTATTTTTACATAGAAAGTAAAATTACTTAAATAGAATATATTGTAAAAAATTAGGTGAAATGACAAAGATATATTTAAATTAAATTTGTCCTATTTATTATATAATAATATAGATGTATACAATAATACATGCAACTCTTCCAATATAGAATTAATATAAGTATTTACTTTGAAATTTATTATTTGGAATCCTTATTTATATTGAAATCAATTTTATGATTATTTTACCAATCATGTCTAGAGATTTTTTACAATTACATTGTAGTATATTTTTACATATTTTATACCTATATACATAAATATATTTTCATTTCTGAATAATAACCAATTTAGTAATTTGTTATTATTTGTTTTATTAATAATTATTTATTATATTCAATTGTAATATAATAAACAGTATATTTCTTACTATAATTATTATTAGTTAGGTGCAATTAGTAATATGGCATATTATAAGGTGATATAGGCTTAATAATGTAGTAGCTAAACAAATTGGTACACCTTACAAAGCATATGTATATTTGTTAATGTACATAATTATTAATTACCCAATCCAAATCTAGAATCTGTAGAAAAAAGTCCATGACTACTATTTGAGCTTCTTACTCCAAGTGATGTTGATAAAAAATCAAAATTATGATTACCTTATGAATCCAAAAAAATATTTAACTAGATACAGAAGTCCAGAACTGGTTAAACATCTGGGATAAATTCCACATAATACTTTTACCCCCACATTTATATTACAATATTTATTTTATCCTACATAGAATTAAAATTTAAAAAAAGCTAGAACATACTTCGCATGTGGTAGCAGCCACTGTAGTAGGTAGGAAGTTGGCAAGGTAGGATATAGAAGGGAATTAAATATATATCTGTAAGCAACAATAATTTATTGCTAATAAAAACGATTCTGAGCGAACTCCAGTTGATAGTGATGGACTAGGTATAAAATAAAAAAAATATAATATAAAGATAAATTGTAAAAGAATGTATCAAAATCAAAATTTATTTTACTTTGATATAGCTGGGTCTAAAGTATTGCTTTTTCAACAATGTGAATTTCCATGACAACAATGATTATTTAAAAGAAACAAAATAATAAAAAAAAAATAACAACAGTTGCTAATGAAAACCTTATTTTAAACCTAAAGAAGCAGGTTTTTCTAATTATTTTGAATATTAATGAGAATTTCAAAAAATTAGTTCTCCTAAGTCCTACTCAAAGAATATTTCCTTTTAGGAATATTATTTTAGAATATTTCCTATACTTGGTAATCAGAGTAAGCCTTTTGGTAGGAAGTGTTTGCATAAAAAAATAAAATAAAATAAACATCATCGTAAAACCAATATATTCCTTGCTCTGCTCAGAATCTTAAAAGGTAATGTGATTATCATTATATCTAAATTTAAAAAAAATTCAAGTTTGAGTTTGATTGAATATTTTCCTAGGTTAGGATAGGTGAAAAAACTGAAAAATATTTTAAATAGTTCGGTTGGATGTCAAAAATCAGGGTTTGACTTATCACTAATTATATTGCATCTAAAAATATTCAAAATATTCTTTAGAAAAAAAAAAAATCATGTAAATAATAGTAATAATTTGTTAAAAAACTAGCCTCCATGACAAAATCATTTGACTAACATTACATGTCATCCAATACAAGTGAAATTAAATATTTTATAATTTTGTACTTAAAATTTAAAAAAACTTATTAAAAAATGATTATCATTATAGTACTTTGATGTAGTGAAGAATTGTTCATTGATCCACCTCCACTAGTGTTTAAACCAGATCCATATACAGGTCCTAGTGACGCAATTCCTAAATTGCTGGCACTCAAATTTCCAAGTCTCTTAACTCCTTGAGCTTTTATAAAATCAAAGTAACTTCATTATAAACAAATAATTTTAAAAATTTGATTAAATTTACTTACAAGCACACTGATTATGGGTTGCAATACCCAATTTATCAGTACTTAGACCACTCATAACAGCTAAAGCAGAATTTTTCACTGGTGTACTTAATGCCTGAGGCTGTATTAGTGAAGTATTATTTGACAGATTTCCTATTCAAAAGAAATAAACAAATTTAGAATAAGAATTTATTAAGAATATAAACTTAATGGAATAATAGGAATTAAATGTTAAAATATAATCTAAAATGTCAAAATTCTGAATTTTTCAATCAGAAATAATTTTCATTTTGAATTATTAAATATTTTATGTAATTAGTAATAATAGTAGTTCCTATTAGTAAAGAATCACCAAAATCACATACTTTCAATACCATGCAATGGTGTTCCACTTGGGCCTAGGCCTCTTCCAATTGATTTTAAGCCTTCGGGAAGTCTTGCTAAAGGATCAGTACGATCAAAACGTATAGACATTGGACGTTCAAACAAAATTTGATTGTTAAACATAGCTGAAGATAAATTATTAAGAAAAATATAAATTTGAAATACAATAAATTAAAACCATTAAAATATATTTAAGGATACAAATGGCTTGAACAGCTTCAACTGGATGTCTATACTCGACTATTCCATATCCTTTACTTTTTCCATGTTTATCTGTAAATATTTCGACATCTACTATGCGACCGGCAAGTTTAAATACCTGTTGAAGTTTTGTTTCATCCACTTTATAGTCAAGCTAAAAAATTTTTAACAATGTAATATAAAAAATATCATACAAATTTGAAAAACTTTACATTTGCAATAAATATACGATTGATAAGAGGACCACGGATATCAAGTGTTTCAAGGAATTTAGGAGAAAGTCCATAAGTACTGTCGCACTGAAAATTATCTGATATAGACATTCTGTTATTAGTCCTATCTTCACTGCTTCCAACATCAAAATTACTACCACTTTCAGTATTACGAGATCCACGTAGCATTAGGTAGCCCCTGTTATTTCTTTCAACATCATCCTAAAATAAAATTTTATTTAAGAAACCTTGATCATGTTTTGTAACAATTTGTATCATATTAAACTAATATAGTCATTTATTTGTTTATGTGAATTATTTAATAAACTTAGAATAGTGAAACAAAGATAACCATTTATCTAGTTAATCCTACAAAAATTGATTATCAATAGCAATTGTCTTTCAAATTGTCTATGTTAAAAATTAAAACCTGTTAAAATAATACAAATTTTACAAAAAAATAAATCATAAAAAATTATAACTCATTATTCAAATTGTTCAAATGAGTTTTCTTTTGTGGTATGACATGTTGGTCAAGTATGCTCTTTACATACATACATATACCATGACAAATTGACTTTAAAACTTAAGTACAATAAAAAAAGTACTATATTACAGAGTGAAAAAAAATATTTTAACTAAATAAATAACTTTATAATGATAGGTTTTGTTATAACACGATTAATATCATGCGAACAGGATGTTAACATAATGGGCAATTTCACTGCTTATAATACCTACAAATAGATGTTTATAGTTTGTTTTTGTTGTTATTTTAGTATAATACTATGTCAATAAAAGGTACATGGAGTTTCAAAACAATATATTTTTGTTTGAACAAGTGGTTCCTAATATAAGTTTAATTTTGGCGAAACACTAACATCGATACCAATGATGGATTAATATATATTAATTTTTTCTAAATATCAGATAAAAATAAATACCTCTTTAATAACCAATCTTCTTCCATTTATATCAAACCGATGCATCTTTTTAATAGCTTTTTGAACAGTCTCCGCTTTATTAAATTCAATTGTAGCACAGCCTCGAGGTTTTTCATTTTCATCTTTATATAGTACCACAAATGCCACATCACCAACTAAAACAAAAACAAAATATGTTAATACATTATAAGTAAATAAAATTATGAAGATTTTTAATTTTTAATTGTTTATAGAGAAAAAAATTGTATTATCACATGGCATACTAATACCTTCTTTGTTGAACAACTCTTTCAACTCTTTCCATTTGTATTCAAAAGGTATATTGGACACAAATACTTTTTTACATCCACTTTTCTTAGACCTTATTGGACTACGGCTTCTGTCAAAATTTCTATTACTGGACTTCATTTTAATTGTAATAAATTATAAAACTAGTAAATCATATAGCGTCGGAAAAAATTAAGTATTTAAGCCCAGATCAGTGATCACACGAATACAGGAATACACGATTAAATATTTAATTATTAAAAATTGGCTGACCAAGTGGTATCCAGGCATGTAAAATTAGCTGAACTAAACCGTTCAGCCAATCAGAAAACGTTAATTTACGGTGTAATGGAAACTCGGCTTAACGGTAAAAATGTATTTAAAAAATGGTTTTAACTATAATATTGTGATGCAATTAACTAGGTATGTTGGCTAGCATGGTTCCATCTATTATAGTCGGAAGAACAAAAAGTGACGCTGACACGCTGGTAAATGTGATGGCAACGATTTTCTTTTCGATAGACAGGAGTTCTCAGAGGAACTCTATTTTCGAAACGAACGAACGACCAAACGTACACATAATAATTCGTTTATGAACAATACGTTACCTCTGTTCGACTATACACAGTTTATCATATTTTCCAATGACATACAAACAATGGATATAGATCACTCGTATGAATTATAAATAAAATATGGTTGGTGACGCTGTAATATTCATGTCTTATCACAGTTTTCGCGGGTTTTCTAAACAATATTTTATATGTTATCATTGTTATCGCAGGCGATTCTTAGTAATGGTTTGTATTGTTTCTTAATTTGTAATAGTGACTATTTTCTTTATTACGAAACAAATTAATTCCTTGTTCCACTTATTTATTAATTAATCACAAATTAAAATGATGGATCTTAAAAGAATTAGAAAACCAATATTATTGCCCAATAAACGATATGGATCTCTTTTACTAAATTTCCCTTTTATACCTATTTATAAATCCCAAAAGCATTTCCAATTCTTTGTGTGTACCATAGCGACTGTTTGCAGGCTAATTGGCGTAAGCGACACTTTTATCAAAATTGAATTTTTGACGATGAGAAATAAACGACACAAAGACATATCGAATGCATAGATAATATATACATGGCAGAAGCCCTTCACCCAGACAACATATGTCACATGATCAACTTCATTGTCAAGACCAATACAATCAATGTTTATAATCATTAACCTTTATATGTTTAACCTGTTAAACCCTTTGTATGCCAATGTCCATAGTCGCAGAGGTTTAATATAAAAAAAAAAAATATATATATATACATGGGTGGGTGGATTCACACCTCGTTTTGCGTGTCGTATTAAAACCATAGCCTTTTTTTTTTTTTTTTTTTAGTTATAAATCCATAGATTTGTTTGTTGCAGTTCTCCTTGCTTTTCTATCGTAGCACAATTCTTACAGGTTTTTGTAATTTTCTTTATTCGTATTCTGCGCTTGGTCTCTTTCTTGCAACGTTTCCTTTAACATTTCCTTCAATTATTTTCTTTAGTTAACATTCATGCCGTAATATGTGTCTTATCCTCTTCTAGATTGAATACTTTTCTATAGTTGTCGTTCCTTTATTTTATCTAGTATCTCCTTATTCGTTAACATCTCGGTTCATGGTATTTTAAGTATTTTCCTGAAGCACCACATCTAAAAGGTTTCTAGCTTATTTTTTACCATTGAGTTTACTATCCAGGTTTCGCATCCAAAGAGCGCTACACTCCATAATATAAAGCTTTTTAGGAATTTCTCCCTTATTTTCAGGCTGACGCCCTTAGTAGTTAGTATACCATAAACATATTAATAATATTATTAATATATTATATTATAATATTAATATACCGGGGGAGCTTCGGTTAGCAGGTAATACCGGTTACCCTGATATCTAATAAACCACGGTATCTAAAATTATATGTAAATAATAACGATAACAAAACCTTATATTTAACAGCACAGTGTTATCACAATTGGTTTTCGGTTTGAAATGTGATTTTTAAAAATTAAACGGTTGTCCATGCAGAAAATATTCTTTTTTTCAACTGACATTTATGGCAAGAAAATTGTATAATTTTTTTTCTAGTCTCTATTTGTATATGTAAAAGAAAATGTATGGAATATGATTCTGTATTCTAAACATGCAATAGTGTAATGGTTTAATATTTTATTTTATGTTTTACATTTTATAAACTGATACATTTTTATATTAATATTTATATTGCCTATACAATTATCTTTGTTTTCAGTTGCCAAAAAAGAAAATCACAAAGAAAAAATTGTTGAAAGAATTTGGTGAAGGCAGCTCTGAAAATTAAAATTACACTAGCTCTAATGTTAAAAATTTGTGACGATAATAGTGATGATGTTGCTATAGATGATGAAGGAGAAATATGTATTATATGTGAAGAGAGAGGAAAGGATGCAATTCGATATAGATGTACTAACTGTGGATTTTGGGTGCATGCTGATTGCAGTGGAGCAGATACTCTGAAAGATTATATGTGTGATATATGTTTTAATAGATTAAGATATAATGAATTATATCTTTTTAATATTGCTAAGTACTGTAGGTAAAGACAACATACTGTTATGTTAACATAACTAATAAAAAAAGAAAAATAGTGATAGTCTTATTAAATTTTTAATTAAGAGCATCCCAGATATTAAATTCAAATGTTTTAATAAAAAATCTAATATGCAAGTAACATCATTTGAAAGTTATACACCTAAGTGTTTTATCATTTATAAGAGAAACTTACTTGTTAACTTCAATTCGTCAGCAGCTAGTTCTTTGTTTTCAATCCAAGTCTGTCTAAATTTAGATTCTTTTGACCCTAGACTGACATTTATGGATATTTGTTTTATGACAAAATTGATTAATGGTGATATATCCTGCCCCGATTTATTACATTCCTTAAATTTTAATGTCCCTCATTATAATTGATGATATTGTCCTACTTTTGTAATTCCATTTAATTATACTACTTATGGCTATAATAATCCCTTGGACCACATTACCAGAGAATGTAATGATTTACAAACCTTATATTTGTTTTATACATAATTTTCATATGTTATGCCAAGTTTTTTTAGTATATTATATAATTTATTCAACTAACATACATATTGTATCTTCTAATTTGTTATTATTATAATACTTTTTATATTTTAATCTGGGTATATTAATTTATGTGTTATTTCTTCTTTATTACCATTTTTATGTTTATTTAAGTTTCTTTATTGTTATTACCTATTCTGTACTTGAGCCTTTCAGGCGTTTATAATAATAAATAAATACATAACAAACAGAGAAACAACAAAGACTATTGATATAAATATGGATATAAAATATTGACTAATTATGGTCCTAAAAATATGTTTTATTAAGATCTAAAACTTGATTTTATTTATAAGCAAATTATTAATTTTCAAAAGACTAACAAGATATTATACATTTGTTCTATAAATATACTGAAGTATAATAATTTTCAAAAATGTATAGCTTTTAAACTATAATTTTAATTATTTTTTGTTATTTAATTTCTACATTCATTAAATTATTCATTTGTAAACTTACAGTAGTTAAGTATTATAGTAATACATCGGAACTTAATGTACTTAATATAGTCATGTACTTATTATGTATTTTAAGATCTAACTTATAAGTAGATCAAATTTTTATATTTTTTTGAATATATTATTGATTTTTTATAATAATTTAAGGTTTTGTTACATGCTTCAAATCTTCTAAAATTAAATGGACTACAAGAAGCATGTTGTGACTTACAAACTTAACTGCATCTAACAAATTGTTAGAGTATTAGGACATTAGAAGAATTACACAGCTGTACTCATGGATTTGTTATTAAGTTTCAAATTATGTTTTAAATAATACTTTTCGTATGAGCCATAATTCTTCTGATTATTTTCTAGTTGATTTCTTTTTCTTGGCAAGGCAGTTAAAAATGGAGTTTTTGTCTTTATCATTTAAACTATTATTCAAGTCAATCTTTAATGATGGGCTAACTATTCCATATGATGAAAAAGTAAGGAGACAAACTAAAGATATTAATTTTTTTATTAAATGTATTACACTATAATTATTTTATTATATTTATTTTAACGCTGATTTTTATTAGGTATTAAATGTTATTTATTAGTGCATTAAATTTTAGAGAATAGGTTTTTCAAAAATTATTGGAACATGGGTGATTTCCATTAGCTACCAAAGAATATTTACTAAAAATAGAAGCAGAAGGACCTTTTATTAAAAAAATTAAAAAACTAAAAACTTGTCTGAGTATATGTCTGGAGCGTGATGATTTAATATTCAATAAATATATAAGTTTATTTATTAAATTTTAATTTGTGGTTTGTGATCCTGCAACTATATGATGTACTAGTAGTCTGCCCAGAAATTAGATTATCTGCTATTAGACTAAGTTTTGCAGAATTAAAAGAAAGATGTTCATGTGTTTGTTATGGGTATAAAGAGCTCTCAACAATAAATAAAGTTAATATGATTAATTTGAGTTTAATAATGCCCCCATGTAAGGTACTGCAAGTTCCCATCTTAGTTGGATATTTTTCTTTAGGAGTATTAAATAATTTTATGTATGCTGTGAATTAAAACAGACATATTTATTTTTAAAATATAATTTATAATGTCTTATATATTTTTTTAACGTTGGTGGAAATGATGATGCATTGAATTGAGCAGTGTTAAAATTTGTAACTACAATACCCATCCAAGGTTGAAGAATGATCTGTATGTTTAATTTGAGATCTTATTTTGGTGTTGGAATACTCAATAATTTTATATAATATGTATGCAGTGCATGTATCTAAGATACTTTTTAAGATATAATTCTTACTTTTTTGGTTCATTAAAATACAAAAATATAATGTAACCTATTGTTGTTATCGATAGTAGTTTTGTTTATCTACCTATACAAATATTATCAGAGAAATTTAATTAAATTTATCTAGAATATTTCTTCGAACTAGTTACAGTTTTACTTGCCAGTCACTGAAACCTTTTCAATAAATACAAATTCTTATAATTTAAAATACACAAGGAAAAGGCCAAGAGAATGTACTAATCGAGATTTATTTCAACGTCTTATGATAAGTTCAGACCCAATTATAAGTTAACTATATATTAAAGAGCATAAAAGAAAACGCCCAACAATTGAAATGATGGAATTCATAATATTTTCAGATGAATATAGCGATAGTGAAAGTGATGACATTTCGTGATTTTATAAAAAATAAATACGTAATAAAACAATTATGTAAATTGATTTTATTTATTTAGGGACAACTTGGGGCAACTGAATATTAGACCATAGTATTCACTACAGTTCATGATATAGTGATATATATAAATAATTCTGGTCGTGGTGCTACTTGACGTAAATATTAAAAATATTTTTTTTTATTTTACCGTTATTAAGTTAATATAATATTTACAATTGCGCAAGTAAATTACTTTTAAGGAGCTGTTTATCGCTTATAAAAAGGTTTACTTCGATTTAACGATTTACAAATATTTTTTTTTTAAACACTGTACCAAAGTTTACATTTACAAGGTAATAAATATTTTAACACAAGGTAAGTTACATTAAAATACCCTATATAAGTCTGCTTATTGTTATAAAAATTAAAAGTAACGAAAATGTATTTTTATTTTACTAGAGAATACAAAATTCACATTCAGGTAACTAAACAAATTTTTAAAATATTTGATTATGACCGGAAAATGTCTGTTTTGGAATACTGTGCTCCACTGGCAGATAACGTGATACAGGTACTTGTGCGAAACTGGAAGTGGTTTGTAGTACGTTTTTTCAAATTTATTTGGAATAGAGTATAGAGTAAAATATTCTATTATGAAAAAAATATTGTCTAGTTAATGCATAAGAAGGTCGTTTTTTAGTTTGCTTGTCGTTTTTCTAATTATTTGCTTTCATTGGTTCATCATAAATTGTATTTTATGTTTAAAAAAATTTAAGGGAAATTTTGTAATTTTTTTTAAGCATTTCAAATTCAAATTTTGACAAATGTCTTAGAATTTACAGGATTTAAAAATATGTTTAATTAAACATTGCTCAAAATCGTAATTTATCAATAATGATTTATTGTTGCTTACAGATAGGTATAAATTAAATAACCTTATGTAATCTAATAGTGGCAATATTTAGAAGTGGGAATATGAGGATGAACTTTCGCCCACGGCAATTTTTGTATATATTTATAACCAAATTATAGCAAAAACTCCCAAAAATTAAAATTCCTTTTAAGCTCAAAAGTTTTGGCAATGATACCGTAAAAATTAAATCAAAAAGACAATAAAAAAAGTGTTTTGTGATTTTTTGATTAAATCATTTTTTCTAGTAGAAAACGTCTTTCGTGTTTTTATACAATAATGAAATTATGACATTGAACATTTCCCTACGTTTTTTCCCCACTTAAGTGCTTTTATTTAAAAAAAGGCGTCAAAAATCAAAAAATGACTTCTTAAAAGTACAATCTAGCCAATTTTAGCTTTCAAAAAAGTTGTTACACGTAAAAATCGAAGATAGTTTACTAGAAAAAAACGTATCCACAGACTAAAACAAAGAGATATACAGCATTTTAAAACCAATAGCTCCCTTGCTACACTTGAAATCTAAAATGATTAATTTAATTTAAATTTTAGATTCTGAGTGTATTCTATTGGATACACAATGGTTTTTTTTTTTATATACTGTGACGAAAATTTCTACCAGAAATTTTGCTTCAGTAAGTGAGCACCTTTTCTGAAAGAAAATATTTTCATATTGACTAGGTACTTTAGGAAGGTCATTTTTTGATTTTCCAAGCAGTTTTCACCAGTGGCGTAAATTTGCCTAAATTTCTGATGGCGCAGAAATATTTTTTAATTTATAACCCACCAACTCTAACTATTCCTTTGTAAATTACCACCCAATAAACAATTTATTTTTTTGTAGGTACCAAATTTTTTTTATGAAATTAATATATTGTAAGTATTGAATTATTTGAATAGTAAAAACTTTATTATTACAACATTTAAAGAAAAACTGTAGATACTTGTTTAATTAAAAAAAAATATAGACTTTTGAAAATAGAACCAATAGGTATACATATTTTTATGATTTTTGGTGATGCAAAAATATAAACTTGCATCACCACATTTCATATGTGATGGTGTAACTGATACATTTACACCACGCCACTGGTTTTCATAATATCTGGAAAACTCAGGATAAAATGTAAGAAAAACGGTAAAGTTCACGAAAACAATGCTTTTATTATTTTTAATTTAATTTTTTGTTGTAATTCAATTAAAAATATTCGTAGAGACTTGAAATTTGAATAGAAAACTTATGTTTTCCTTTTCCTGGCGCGGTAAAACTGTTGAACAATTTATAGACATTTTAATTTTGTGAGTTTAACTCTGTGGATAAAATTATTAGACCAAATAAATGTGCTTGATAATTTAACACAAGGTTTATTAAATGTCGTACTTTGCGGTAAAAAAAAAATTTGAGCAGAGGCTTATCACTTTTAAATATTCTTCAAAATGAAAACATTAATATAGAAAATACTATTGATCAAATAGCTTGCAAAATACTGCTCTGGCTATCTATAACAGTGGTCTACCCATCATGCGAAGTATGTCCATATTTTTTTACCAATCATTAATATTAAATTTAATTATTTCGCCTCCCCCCATAGTTCTAAGTTTGGAGACGCCCCTGACAAACATATATCCAGGAATCAAATCGGACTGAGGAAGTATTTTAGGTAGTTAATTTTACGAATTTCTCATAAAATGAGAAAAAAGGAGGAAAAAATATAAATTAATTTATTTTATCCAGTATTTCAGTATACATCCATACCTTCTCAATAAACCCATTATAGTAAAGTAAATCATAGATTAAGTAAACTTAATTAAGTATATTTATCTATGAGTAAAGTAAGTAAGAAGTATCTTCTCTTTTATATTCTAAGCGGAGCCAGAATGCATTGTATTATTTTGGATTCGGAGCGTATAGCGAGAGATTTATTTAGTTTTACTGTGATGTGCGTGTAATTTTGTTTGTGTCTGTGAACACCAAAAAACTTCCTCCAAAGTATAGTTAGACTAGAGCACCTTTTCTGAAAGGTAATTTTCTCTCGTTGAAGCATTGAGGAAGTCATTTTTTGATTTTCCAAGGAGTTTTTGAAATAATTAGGAAAAATCCGAAAGAAAATTATAGGTAAAACGGTGAATATTTACAGCACGCCGTAACCGTGGCGTAACCGTATTCATTGTTTAATTATGTTTGCACGATGTGTTCTATTAAAAATATTGCTCCAATCTAAAAAAGACAAGATATCGATTTTGTTCCTTTAAATATTTTGTAATTGCGGGAGTTAATCGTTTATAATTTATTTTTCATAATAATTGGGAAAAACTAAAAAAGACGAAATACACGATTTTTTTTTCAAATTACGGCACAGCGATTTCATTATTTTAAATTTGTACGCTTTCCATTTTGTACTAGAAATATTGCTCCTGTAAAAGAAACCAAGATGCTCCCTTTTTTTTTTATCTTGTTTGTGATTAAGTTTTTCGTTTTTTGATTTTCTTTGTAATTTTTTTAATAAGTGAGCAGAAACGAAAAATATGTAATAAAAAAAAAATGGAAAAAAAATGTACGAAATTAATACTTTTATAACTTTAAAACTTTTTGTTTTGTCTTGTAATTTAGTTTAAATTATTTATAGAGGCTTAAAATGTTGACAGACAGAGACAGGGAATTATATTTACTTTTCCTAGACGTGGTAAATCGTTCAGTACATTTGAGAAATTTGTGGCTATTTATAGACATTTTAATTTTACGAGTATTTTACGTAATTTGTATTTATTAGGTACTCTGTAGATAAATTGTTAAACTTAACAGAAATACTTGAAAACTTAGTAGTAGGTTCATTAAAGGTCATGCTAAATAATCAACAAAAAAAAAAAAAAAATTCAAATCAAGTTTAATGTATTTTTTTTTTTTATAAGAGTTTTAAAATCAAATTTTGATGACAATCGTAAATATTATGGCCTTTCAAAATATGTGTAGCCGAACTTCACTCCGAATCGTTTTTAGTTATCAATGGTTTATCGTTGGTTACACATAAAAATTAAATAACTGTGTATTCCACCTTCCCCTTACTCTTTCCTAGTATTTTTTTCTAATTTGTAATCAACTTTTCTACCAGAAATCTTGATTCGATTTTAAACCATAAGACTTTTCCTGAAAGGAAATATAACTGGGATAGTATTCTAAGGTCATTTTTTGATTTTCATAATAAATGAGAAAAACGGGGAAAACGTACGAATAAAAACGGGAAAATTTACGAAATGTATTATTTTAAAATCGTAAATAATACGGCTTTTCAAAACGTGTACAGCTGAACTTGGTTCAGAGTCGTTTCTCGTTAGCAATGATTAATCGTTGTCTACAGATATATATTAAATTCTCCCTCTATCTTCCAAATTCTTACCCACAACAGTGGCCCACCCATCTTGCGATTTATGTTCGTTTGTTTTTTAATACTAATTATATTTTTAAATCAATTTTTTAGATTTTTCATTCAAAAATAACAATAATATTTTTAGTTGGAATCGGATTATTTAAGAAAAAAAAAAAACGAAAGTATGTAAAGGTAATTCGTGGTCGAGTTCTCTTCGTCGGTCACGTTGCACGCGATTAGTGACCTACTTCGTTTTAATTTTATATACACGTTAATTTATTATAATCATTTTATTTTAAATAGGTACAACATTATTTTAATGTTTATTATGTAGTTAAATATTATTTGTAGGTATTTGACATTTATAGTGTGTGAGGTGAAACGTATGTAGTGTACAATGAACATATAAATAAAAAAAAAACAAGTATATATACATAAAAAAAAAAATTATAATCAATAATATATATTATAAAATAATAATAAATTATAAGGCACAAAACGACATAAATTCAAATATCTAAATTTGAATCATGATTGTTAAGAGACTACATTATCATTACAGTGGCATTTTCGTCCTTTGTTTTAATATAACAGCCAATATAGCAAAAATGTATTCACATAAAACAAACGAAAAGACATTTAAAGTCGGTTTAGAGACAAAACACCTATTATACAATTTGTATAGGACAACATTTTGAAGACAACCTCGTCGCCGTTTTACAATTTTAAATATATATAGATATACGTACAACAAATCTTCTTTTACTTTTGTGATAATATAATCAATATACTTCGAATAACACCGATTAGGTTTTATTCAAAATGTTATCAACCACAAATTTTATTACAGGTGTTTTATTTTCTGAATCCTACTTAAAAGGTTTTGTGTTTTACGTGAACGTATTTTCGTTACTTATACATACCGTTATCCGTTTTATGGAAAGACAGAGATGGCAAATAGAACCGTGGACGGCCTCTTAATGACATTATACAGGTATAGGTACAAAAGTTAGGTAATATATTTAGGTATTACAGGTAATGTACCTTACGATATTTTAATAATGAATAAATACATTAATATAACATATTATTACATTAACATAATATAATATTAAAAATAATTGGTGATTTTATTTGTAAATATTGTATAGTCTTAAACGATTTTAGCACTGATACAATGCTGATGACCGTAACGTTAAAAATTGAATCGATTAAACAGCAATACGCTGGACAATAATATTATGATATTATGTACTATTGACCAATAAATAAATAAAATTTCGATAATATTTAGAAACGCCGTAGGCCGTCGGAAATTTGTATTGCTATACTCCTATTATATAGGTATAATATCAGCCGTTAAACAACGCTCCTAATTCCGGGCCACCGTTATAACCGTAATTTTGGGCCATGAGCATCGAATTCTGAAACACCGTTTAAAAAATATTAGTACACACACATAAATTACTAGGTATCAGTAAATTCGAACACGTATTCAATTAATAAAATAATATTACCCCGGCCGAACCGCTGACCGACGTACTGTGTGCATTTTGCGACCAACTTCGTATCATATTGAAAGCGATCAACAGTATGGCGAATTTTCCGATCGTCATCGCTTTTATGGCCAATAGTTTCAAGTTCATTATGAACATCGGTATGAGCATCGTCTGTATGGCAAACGGTATGATAAGTAGAGGTATAAGCTTGTCTTTAAACGATTGTTTCTTTTTCTTGTGTTTGCTCATAGGTTTCTTTTTCCGTTTGTTTTTCATAGGTTTCAGCACGTCGTCGTGACCCCTGTCGACGTCCACTGTAACAAACACAAAATGCAATTATAATGGTCAACCCGATAAATGAAGTACTGTACTAATAGTATGCGCAGAAGTTGAGAAGTGTGCTGAACGAGACGTGACGCGAAGAAATGGAGGTCGCCATGGCTCGGTGGTCAAATTAAATTGGGTATTATATGCTAATCGAGTGGAGGAGTCCGAGTATTTAGACGGATGCGAGAAAATGGATGGGTTGTGCAGGAGAACAATTTACTATTGTTGCAATGATGCGGCTAAAACAAGACGAATTGATTCCGATTGCGTATGTACACGTGGTGCGGGATAGAGGCGAAGAGGAAAAATAATATGACGTCCGTTAAACGTTTTTATCGCGAAGATAAAGGCGAAATATTATTATTTGATGTGAAACATGATATTTACCAAAATACACGTCCTCGGTCACGCGATTGGCCACCCGGTCGATGACGGCGGCGGCGGCGGTCATCGGCTGCAAGGCGCCGGAACCGCCGAGCACCGTAGTCGCCGTAGTCTGTTCGGCCGTGAGATTTGCGGTCTGCGGCGGCGAGGGGTCTGCGGCTGCTGCCGGATCCGGAGACTGCAGTGGTGAAACGGCCGCGGCCGCGGAGATCGCGAGCCACGCCATAATAAGCGGCAAACTCCGCGCGGACGGGAAACGCGGCATTTTCGCGGACGGTCGTCGCGAGACCGGCGAGTTTATTATGTTGACAGGTGCGACCTACGGAGGTACTTACTATCGAATCGATTACCGAAAACGATAATATTGTTTACAGGTACAGGAGGGCGCGTACACTGTGCACGCGTACCCGGACCGAGCGCGAATGAAGATGCCAGACGCGCGCGCGGTATAATGTCGGGAACGCGTGGGTACGAAGACGGCGGCGGCGGAACGAATGTCCGCGGAAAACGATCGGCGCGTGCTGCAGCGGGGCGATGATCGCGGACGAACGAAAACCTAATACTCGCGCTCGGTGTGTACACTGTACACAATATTATTAACGCACGGTGAAAACAATAATAATATTATTATCGTTAGGGTACCCCGTATAATACGCGTATAGTACGGCCAGACCGACCGACCGCGTCCGTGTGTCGGGTTCTGCCGCGGCATCGGTGGCGACCGACGACGACGGCTATAATAACGTACGCTGCATCTACAGCCCGGGGACCTTGACCGCGAATATACTTTCACGTGACTGCGACCGCGTAAAGTGGGTTACCCGCGCGGCTGCTATAATATCATAACGTTTTGTGGCACGCGTGTACAACACAACGTATAGGTAAGCGATACACCTATCACTTTTATAATAATAATGTTGTATGCGTATGCGGGCCGCTGTAAAAACACCATCCGGTTCCGTGCAGCGCGGTGACGGTCGTCCGCGGGGATGGGTCGCGGCCCGCCGGAGGCGCGTCGCCCGTTCGCTACGGCCGGCCGCGCGGTCTTATAACTTTATCGTCGTATACGTGCAAATAGGCGGGCTCGGGCTGCAGTGGCGTAACTAGAACTTCCGATTCCCGTGGTAAAAAACTGTAGATTAACCGAATTATGGGCCAAGTGCAGGGCCGGCGCTTATTGGGGGAGTGTACGACCATTTATACTCCGAAATTGTAAAAAAGTAAAACGTCGACGGGTGCAGCCACCGTTATAGGTAATTTAATGTATGCCTGTAAGCAACGATAAACTGTTGCTTACGACAAGACAATTCTGAATGGAGTTCAGTTGATAGTAGTAGTGCTTTGTTAACAATATATATGCCATAGGTATTATAGTAAAATAATTAATAATTAAAAAGGCTTTATATATTTTTTTTAATAATATATGTTTAATGTTGTACCGATTTTCCTACGTTATTCCCGGTTTTTCACATTTGCCGAAAAAACTCCCGAGAAAATCGAAAAATGACATTTCTAAATTACCACCCCAGTCGGATTTCCTTTTAGAAAAACTGCTATAGAAACGTTGTTCACAGGAAAAAAGAAGGCCGTAATAAATTTAAAAAAATACCTATATTTCTTATATTTTCCTACGGTTTTCCCGGATTTCACATTTATTGGGAAAACTAGTGGGAAAATCAAAAAAAATTACTTGTCTACAGTACCTCCCGAGTAAAATTTCCTTTAAGAAAAATTGCTATTATTATAAATTGGAGCAAAATTGTTGGTAGAAAATTTGTCCATAGAAAAAAAAAATCGTAAGAATATACTAATATATTTCGTACATTTTTCCATTTTTCCTCCGTTTTTTTGGGGGGTTTTCGCATTTGATGAGAAACCACTTGAGAAAATCGAAAAATGATCTCCTTAAAGTACTTTCTCACACCGAATTCTTTTTAGAAAAGAAAAATAAACATCTTTGTAAAACCATAAGCTTCTTCGTTCCACTCAGAATCTAAAAAAGGCTATTAACAAACGATTTATAGATTCCGATTCCATTAAAGGCTCCGTATAAAGGCTGATAAGAAAAAAAAAAATCATTAATCCCCATCAATAATTGCTGGCTTTGTCCAAGTCCCATTATTCGAGTTGGGCCCCAATTTACATAGTTTGGATTGTGTTTTCATACATCTGTCTGTCCACTCATGTTACTTAATAAGCAAAACAATGACCATCATCTGTATTATTATTCATCTGTCATCCTGTCCATTCATTGAAAAATAATGCCTTGGGCCTTGATTTGGGGCCCGTAAATAAGAAATAGAAACGTGAACTAATTCCTTATTTTTACGAATAGAAACGTAAATATTGTAATTATTTTGTTCTTCTCTGAAATTTATTCTAAAACACATTTGGGGGAGAACAATTTTCGCTTATCAAGTTAAGAATTTAATATAGATGAGACCCTTCCAACCAATTTTTTATTGACTTTCGACTTGGTGTTCCAAAGAAAATTAATTAGTGATATTTTAAAATTAAGATAATCTAAAAAATTATTTTGGCTTCTATTAGGTATTCATAAAGGAACACTTATAAGTAAGGAACGAGTTCTTGTTTTGCAATAGGAACGAGAAATGGGAACGAATTCCTTTTTAAAAGGAACATTAACAACACTGTTTTATACCCCAGTGGTTTGGTAAATTGGTAAATTATATTATTATTATGTCCTTTGGTACACGCAAAAATACGAACTGTATGTTTTTAAATGTGATGTGGGGCTCTTATCAATTAAAAATAAACAGAAATATTATCTGTTTGTTTAGACGTATATCATTTAATATTGACGTTTTAAAATGTATTATTTCACGCGCTGAAAGTCATTCGATATGGGATATGGACAATCGATATTATACCCATTCGACATAGGTATACACGATACACTATGCGGGTCGTCGCATATTGATATTGATTAGAAACGATAGATACGGTAGTAAACTAACAATGATTCGACTATTATTGTTTTCGGCAAACTAGTTTTACAGCAATTTGAACTAAATTATTAGATGTATACTATTCACGTATTTTATAATCAACCGCAACGTGTTATATATCTACAGTTTAGCCGCAAATCATCATGATTTTCGGTTAGTAACTTATACTTTTGTTTTATCACTTTACGCAAAATGTTAAAATTGCAATAGGTATTACTCAATTTTCAGTATTATAAAGTGAGTGGGTACACGCCGTATACCTTCGTAAACACTCGAGACTTCTACTATGTACCACTGTTTACACCTAAAATATTATTGGTGCCTATACCATTTTTGACCGATATCCGATATTTCGATATAAAATCAATATCCGATACTCAAAAATCTCGAGTTGATATTGAAATAATATCCTACAAACATTCACAATTATGCAAGTTTATCTATCACGAGTTAATAAAACAAAGTTAAATAGAAATCCGTAATCTGTGTATATAATTATACATAAGTTATTATTATAAAATGCCTAAGTACCATAAAAGTAGATTATACCTAGATAAAATAAACTTGAACCCCTCCAAAAAATGTATACTCCGTGTATTCGCTAAAGAAAATCCTATACATATATATATATATACATTCTACAGATACAAAATGCTAATATGTTGAACTTGAATGTTTCAAAATATAAAATTATTACCTTCTTTAAAAAATGTTGCTTTTTAGTTGGAAGCCTTATTCAAACGGTCCAATCCAGTTTCTTGAGGCGATTTTAAATCATTTTATAAGGCTATTGAGTGTAAAATGTAACATTCAACATCAGCCACACTCATTATATCAGTCAATACCATTATATTTAAAGCTTGATACTCTACAAGTTACAAGGGTAAAGTAAGATGTCCTTTTTTTGTTTAAACTACTGAATGGTTTTATTTACTGTCCAGATCTGTTGTCTAAACTTAATTTTCAGGTTCCGGGTTATAAAATCAGATAGGTTGACACTTTGTATGTCCCTTTCCAGCGTACGTTATATGCCGAAAATTCTCCTTTGAATAGATATATGTAACTTGTAAATAAATTTAATATTGATGATTTTGTTTGTGGTACTGTAAATTTTTTTAGTCTCTACGTATTTTTTATTTTTTTATAGTGCTATGCAGGCCGTTGAGGCATTTTGCTAAACTTTTCCATATATTCCGATTCATCGCATCCACTATTTATTTTGATTCATCGGTATCTAAAATATCTTTTTTCACTCTGTCCAACCATCACTGGCGTGGTCTTCTCCTTGGTCGTTTTTTTGTTGGGTTTTGGATCAGTGCATTTCGCATGACACTTTCACCTGCCCGCCAAACATGACCAGCCCACTTTAATCGTTTTACTTTTAGGAATAATCCAATATTTGGTTTATTATATAACCTTTCTAACTCATTGTTCTTCCGTCTCTCATATTCCCCGTTTTGGTTTCTAACCGGTTCGTGAATAATTCGTAGAACCTTTCTTTCAACTGAATTTTCTTATGCATGTTATATTTTATATTTATGTTGACTCCCAAGTACTTGAACTCGTCTACTTGCTCGAAGGTGTAGGGACCTACAAAGCGCTGCTTTGTTTACCATTTGTCTAGTCATAACTAGATATTTAATTTTATTCTCATTGATAGCGAGGTTCATTTTGTGATTAGACTTCATTAGTTCGTCTGTGACCTTTATTACACTATCTTCAGTGTCTCCAATATTACAACGTCATCTACATACGCAAGCATTACATTTTTCCCATTTAACTCCATTTCGTGATTCATTGCAAGGCGGAGACAACTCACCTTGGTACCGGATTTTGCAGTATGTGTTAGAATTACATATCTCTATCATTTTTACCAGCTTTTTTGGGATTCCGAAGTTCCTTAGTGCTGTCCATAGTTGTTGTCTATTGACACTATCATAGGCTTGCTTGAAATCAACAAAAATCAGTCTATACGTATATTAGCAATTAAATTATCTAATTTTTTTAACCTTTAATTTTGCACAACTTTATATTGGAATATTTGTAAATTATGTGTTTTGTGTATATACTGTAACTGGGCTTTCGCTCGTTTAAATTTATAATAAAAACAAATAAAACAACATATTATATGATTATTTTATCGCCGCAGTTATGGTCCACCGCCGCCGTTTTCTACATCGGCAACGACTACATGATGTGTATCCATTACAATAGTTAGGTATTAGATAGTCGGGTACCTACTTTACCTTCTTTGCGTACCTAACCTAAGTACGTGTATATAACATTCGCGTGCCACGATAATGGCAAATTAAAAACACTGACGTGTATATTTCGGAGACAGTCGTTTGTCGGATAAACGAAAAATTGCGTTCCATTCGGATCTTTTTGACTTTTCTCGAGTTCCGATTGCACCCGGTAATGACCAATTTTATCTTAGAAGATATAACTAGATTGGAAAAAAATTATACACAATTATATATTTTATAATAATAAAAAAAAGAATTGATACTGGTGCGTCCACTGTTGTAGGCGGGTAGTGGTGAAGGTGGATACATAAAGTTATTTAATTTATACCTGTAACCGACGATAAACCATTGATAACGAACAGCGATTCGGAGTGAAGTTTGGTTATACATGTTTAGGTTATTAACGATTGTCGTCAAAATTTGATTTTGAAACTCTAAAAAAAATAAAGAAAGTACTACATTACATT